GGGTCACAGAGTCCGGAATTGTCAAACTGGTCAAAGAGTCGCAGTCAGAAAAGGCACCATCTCCAATCTTTGTCAGAGAGGAGGGAAAGGTCACGCCCCCAATCATGTCGCATTTGCAGAAGGCTTCTTGTTCAATTTCCGTCGTGCCTTCTGGAATATTTATCATGAATAAGACCTGGGGTCTGAAGATAAATTTGAAGGGTGAGTCGAGGGAGCAGCCAGCATCGTTCTTTTTGGAGCACTCTAGTGAGCGGACTGTGAAGTAAACTTGCAAAACTACATCTTCAGAAAGACCTGCTCTCATGACTGTCTCGCCATCATCAATCAGCTTAGTTTCACCGATCACCAATTCAACCAAGGTCATCTTCTTCATAGCCTCATCTGTCCATTCTCGCATTCCTTTGAGCTGTCTTTTGAGCTCGCAAATGGTCATGTCCGGGGCTGCTGCAACGACAGTAACATCCCCGCTCATCTGCTGCACTGAAATGTTCATCATCGTAGCTCAGGAATGTTCAGCTGTTCTTGCAACCTTTGGCAAGTGAAAGCAAGCGGTTTGAGCCTATGCCATCATAATGAAGAATATTGCTAGATGTTCGAGGCGATTCCCTCTTAGTTGTGCTTTTAGAATTGCTGCACCAGGAAAATCAGGACCCAAACACCAAAGTGGAGAAACCTGGATATAAAGGAAAGTGCACTGGTCGTGGTCACAAGAAGCACTGGTCCACCTGCCAAACGGAGGTCGGCCCCGGCCGAGCAGCGCGTTTCTTCTCGCTCGCCAGCTGCATTGGGTCCGATCCAAGCGTTTCCAGGCTGAGGGATTCGCAGGGGCCAGTTGCAGTGATCAAAGATATACAGCGATGGGCAGAAAAAAGGAGAACTTGGAAACAAAGAGACCAAGGTGTCGCCGAAAATATGTTAGAACATCACGTCTATCCTAGCAGGGGGCCTCGAAACCAATCCATGAGCGAGGAATTCTTTGGGCGCGGCTGGAACCTCGCGAATCGCCCCCGTATGTGGGCGGGGGGAGCTTTCCATTTGCCGTCGAAGATTTAAAAAAAACACAACTTAGCCCACAACCTACTGTACGTTGCAGTGCTTCGGCTGGGGTAGTCGTACCTCCAATGACAATGTCCCGCTCCTGCTTCCCTCTGGGCCCAATCCTATGAAGCTAGTCTCGAATTCAGCATGTAACAGTAAATTCAAGCAAATCATGTGCACAAGACAGAATTTGCTTGGCATCGAGGCATCACTGTGTGATTTCCACTAGCGCATCGCTTAGACCCCATGGCATCCTTCAAACAGACAAAGTACATAAGACAGATCGTATGCCTCTTCTACACACGGGGCAAGATCTCATTTGTTGGGCACAGCTCAAGCAGAGCGCATAATGCATGCATGGCTCAAGGACAACGGATCGTGGGGCTTCCATGCAAACGCAGCATTGGGTCCTCAGATGGCCGACAAGCATGCAAACGAAGGTGGCATAACTCCAGCTTACACACCATCTGCTGTTGTGGTGGTCATGGCATCCACCACCCACCCACCCACCCACGCACCCGCCCGCCACCCAGACCCACCCACCCAGACCCACCACCACTCGCACTGCGCACATCTTGCACCGTGGCAATGTGCCTGCGATCTGAGGCTCTGAGTGAGCAATTCATTCCTGGTCACCTCGATGATCCGAGCCTCTGCCTGCTGGATCGACAAAAGGAGCTCCGTGTTCTCCTCGGTCGGCCGACGGTCGGAACCTCCGGATGTTCCGGACAAGGTCGCTCTGGACAGGTCGGGCCCAACCTCGGGACGCCCCAAATTCGTTTCCGCGTCGATGTGGATGGAGACTTGAAATCGCCGATCCGCAACGTGAAACAAGCCGATGACCATCGGGGTTTGTTCGGTGCAGAGCGCGGTAGAGAAGAGACTGAACGGATGTCCTGATGTCCCCCGTTCTAGAGAGCTGACCCTCTGATCTCTGCCACGCTCGCTCACACTCTCTCTCTCTCTCTCTCTCTCTGTTTGTGGTTTTGCATGATCTCTAATTGGCTAATCAGGGTCAAACTGTTGTTGCCCAACTTATCCATATCCGCCATATCTGCAAACTTTAACTTTTAACCCAACTTGCAACTCACCCAAAAATATGGCTTGAATGCCTGGCACAGGAAATGGTATGAGCTCATTCGTTCACCTAAAAAGTCTCATCCAAATCAAGACATGTTCCAGACAATTAGAGATTATCCAAAACAAACAGGCAAGCCGCGTATCTGCAAATTGCCCGTTGCAAAACACAAGCTTCGAAGGCTTACAGCCTTACAGCTGGGATTGCCGCAAAGAGGATACACTCTCCCAACACACCCTGCCCGCCTTGGGCGGGTGTGGCCTGCCCTCGAAAGATCTAAAAAATTGCAAACTCTCCTTTCAGTTTAGACCTTACACAGTTACAAGAGGGGGGAGGGGTGACCAAACAAACCAAAAACCTAACCAAAACCTGCGTGGTAGCGTTGACTCCTGTCCAAGAGTTCTTTAGAAACACATCTTCAACTTGTGTCCTTGAAAAAAACAAGTCCTTCATGTTCCTTGATGTCCGGTCCGACAGGACAACAAAGGACCCGGCCGGTTCACAGCCACGCCGAGGTTCCGATCGAAGCACCGCGTCCCGCAGCTCTCCGCGCAGCTCGTCCACCGTGGCATGCGCCGCGCTGAGGCGCCTCACGTGGCGTGCGTCGTGCGACGGGGAAGGAGGAAAAGGTGAATAAGAGAGCTGACACCAAGTTCCTAGTAGCTTCTTGTTACTACTAGTAAGGCACTTGTTACTAGTAGCGAGGCACTTGTTCCTAGTAGCTTCTTGTTACTACTAGTAAGGGTTTTTCAGATTCAGATCGGTGTTGGGGACACCATGTCAGAAAGGCTCGAAGTGTTTCAGAGTCAAGAAGCAGGCGGGGATTGGTGCCACGCCTCCATGGCAAAGAGGGCTTTGATTCGTACTTCGAAAATGTATCACTTAATTCTATATTGTTTCTAGTAGATTCTTGTTACTACTAGTAAGGCTGTGGAAATGAATCCAGCACTGGCAGCAAACATCATAGCGCTCTTTTCTTGAGCCATTCGCGAGAGCGAAAGTTGGGTTTCAGTCTCCTCAAGCTGGTCAGGTCCATGAGCAATCCGGGTCAGTGGCTGTCTGGTCCATGGGTTTTCCTTCGTTTTCACATTCGTCTTTCTTCTGACCTCGATCGCTCTTGGACCCTTGCAGCTCGATCTTCAAGGAAAGGCCGTTCATGGCCGCTCGGACGTCGCTTGCGTCCATGTGCTTCGTGAGGGCGTCCGACAGCATCGTCTTCGCGCTGATCCACAGCACTCGGGTGCTGCCATCTTTCGGCGGCTGGTCGCTGAACAGCGGGTCGCCCACTTCTTCGCGGCGTCGACGCCAGATCATCTGGCGCATCCCGCAAAGGTCGATTGCGAGCCTCTTGTCGTTCACCTCTCCGAGCCCTTGTTGCGTCAAGTGGTCGGACAGACTGCGACAGTCTGTCAGCTTGATCAGATCTGTGCTGTCCTGGGCTCTCATCCTCCAGTTGGGATCACCTTGATCGTGGCCATGATGTAGTCCATCCAGGATCATCCTCAGGTGCTCCCCGTCCTCATAGCCGGCCAGCATACTCAGGCTCTCAGCCTGAAGTGTGCTTCGACACACCCGTCGAATCACGGAGCTCTTCCATTCCAAGATGTGGATCGGGCCTCCACTCTTGTCGATGAAATCTGGCCCGCAGAAGGCCAGAATCCTCCCAGATTGGGAGCGGAAGCCAAGGCGCTGTCCAGTCGACGAGAGGTCATAGTCGTTGGCGTGGCTCGCATCAGTGATGGAGAGGATCTTGAGCTCTTCAAACTTGAAGGGGCGCCACACGTAGGTCAGCCGCTGATCCTTGCTGAGCATTGCCCTCCTGAGCAATGAGTTGCAGTCCACCAAGTCTTGGACACAGGGCTTCTGGACACAGCTTTGTAGTCGGCTGGTGTCGTAGGCCAGATCGGGCCGGTTGACACGTACAATCCAGTTCAAGGAGCCAAGAACACTCCTCATCTGAGATTGCTCCTTGTGAGTGGCTTCTCCTCCTCGGTTGGCCTTCCTGGCTGTTGACAGGGCAATTGGTGTAGTCCTTTCAAGACCATGCGGGCATGTGACATGTATGCCCTCGTCGTCCTGTGAAATCATCCTGCCACAGAACTTGAAGGTGGTGTCGGCGGTCCTGCCAAACTTCAGCTTCTTCTGGACGTTGTCCATGGCCTGCTGGGTGAGGTCTCCTCCACACCAGAGTAGATCGTCCACATGACTGATCACCAGTCCATCCACAGAGCCGTCTGGTTTGTTCATCACATAGGCGGCATTCTCATGTGGAATGGGACGTAGTCCAAACTCCTTCATGGTGTTGTGGAGGCTCTTCCAAAATCCTCGTGGAGCATCCTTGGTGCCATAGACAGGCTTCCGTGCCACAAGCAGTGATCCGGGTGCCACTCCTGGTACACCATCTTTTGGTAGACTCATGATGAGCATTCTAGAAAGTCCAAGCCCTTGTAGAAACGCCGCAGTGATGTCTCCACTGTGTAGGCGTAGACCATTGCAGCTGGCGGAGGACAGAACCATGCTCAGCATCAAGTGGGATGCCGTGGGTGAGTCAGTGCGAACTCCTCCTTGATGTGCCTGGTTTTCAAGATCTCCACGGACAACCAGGCGGCTCTTCAGTTGTTCTTCTTCTCCTTCATCCGCCTTGTTGACATCTACCCATCGCATGGGTACCACTTGTGCTCGACGGTGCTTCTTGCGGAATCGATCAGCATCTTGAGGTGGAATCACCTCGCAAGCATCGAAGTTGGTCCAGTTGGTCCACTCCTTGTGCCTGGTCTGGTCCAGCTTCGCCTGCATCTCTGGTGAGGCCTTGGAATAGTTGATCTCCTTACTGCCAGCACTCTTCTTCTTATAGTTGGTGCGCCGGGCCAAGAATCCTCGCAGGCAGGTCGCCTGTGTCTTCTGGCGACTGTTCTGTGTGGCATAGAAGGTTCTCGGCGGTGTCCTTGATCGTTGTCTCGAAGATGAGCTGGTAGTAGGGTGTCCGTCAAGTCCTTCCAGTGATCTCCACATGGATCGCTGCAGTGGTGTAGGCGTAGACGTGGTGGTTGGTGTGCCTTCGGTTGTTGCTCTTGTTCGTTTGGCGTCCGGTTCAATGTCTGGCTCCTCCACGGATGAATGTCGTGGTAGATCTCCGAGTTCATTCATGGCCTCCTGAAACTCATCGAACTCGACCTCTTGGTCATCATCAGGTACTAGTCCTGGAGGTTCTTCTGGACCTTCAGCTGGTATAGGTACAGCAGCCACCTCTTCCAGAGTGAGTGGGTCTGCCGATAGCCCAGGTGGTGGTCCAGGAGGTTCTTCTCCAGGTGGTGTTGATGCTGCCACCGCAGGTGCTGAAGACATTCCTTGTTCAGGTTCTTCTCCTGGTTCTGGTGCTCCTGGAGCTGGATGATCTTGATGTCCAGCATGATCTCCTCCGGGGCGTCCAACATCCAGGTAGGATTCCTGATTCTCTTCGTCAGACTGATTTGCCATCAGATCATCTGCAAAGGGGACTTCATCTTCATGGTCCTGTAGGATCTGCCGCTTCCTCTTGCGTGATGGCCGAAGTTCCAGGAGTTGTTTTGCCACAACTTCTCCTTGTAGAGCTGGTCGACATGATTCCTCGCTGATGGTGATGAGAACTCCACCATGGATCAACCAAAGGTTGCTGCGGCCTTCTCGTCCAATGACCCTTGCTGGTCCATACCAGCGTCCAACTCGAAAGAAGCATACCAGATCTCCTGGTACATAGGGTCCACGAAGTGGCATAGATCTCCGCAGCAATGAAGTCCTGACGCGACGGCTGCTGTCCGCATACTCAAAAGCTTCCTTGGCAGCCTGTCGGATGTTCAGTCGTTGTGCGAACTCAGTCTCTCCTGTGACCATCTCTTCATGAACTCCAAGACGGTTGGGTGCTTGCTCAACTGTCAAGCTGGTCACGTCATCTGGCAGCTTGCCCATGACCCATTGAGTTGGGCTGAAACCAGCATGATTGACACGGCAGTTCTTCACAAAAGTGGCCTCCATCACAGCCATTCGCATCCCTGTGATGCCGACGATATGTCGTGCTGCCACCGTGTTCTTGATGATCTCCTTCAGAAGTGAACCTTGACGTTCTGCTCGACCGATTTGATGATGAGCCTCCGTGCCAGCGTAGCGGATGTAGACTCCTTGCGCAGACATGAGAGCAGCTACTTGTCCACGGTTGGCCACTCCTCTATCAACAGTCAGGTACTTTGGAGGGCCAAAATGAGTGAACCAGTGATCGCGGAAGATCTCTGCACACTTTTGACTGCTGGGAGTTCCGCCCTTGTCGGAGACGATCCAAGCGCTGTGGTACAAGGTGCCCATGTCGATGATGGAGAGAACGGTGTACCTGTTACCAAGTCCATCTCTCACCTCAAAGGCATCAGAGGTGATCTCGAAGTTGAAGGTGTATGGGCTTGGTGGTCGAACAACAGGTCGTGGCTGTGGCTTCTTATGGTGCTGGCATGTCTCGCATTTGAAGTACTTCACCTTGTTGATGACTTCTGGAGCTGCTCGAGCGACACGGAGCATGCGAGCCATAGCACCAATGCTTGAGTGCCCAGTCATTTGATGTAGTCGTCGGAGAGCGACTCGTTGGGCATAAGGTAGGCTAAGCCACTGCTTCTTCCGCACACGATCTCCTTCTGTGGTTCCAGGTTCTCCTTCACGATCTTCTTCGCCTTTCAAATCATCTTCTTCAGCTCGATGTGGTAGCGGAGGATTAGGTGCCAGGTCCTGCTCATCGTAGATCTTGTCCAAGGTGCCCAAGGGGTTGTCCTCCATGACAGCTTCAGCGGGGAATGCCACCTTGGTGATGGTACCTTCAAGATCACAGAGAATCCCTTGCAGGATTCCTTCACAAAAGGGACGTGGCCATTCTTGGGCTCGTTTTGTGCGGTTTGATCCCTCGAGAGCTTGGTGTTGGTGATCTCCCGGGCATAGTTGTGACATGTTATGCTTTATGCCCAAACTGGCGGTCATCAGTCCAGTAGGCTTCTTGTTGGGCATACCATTGTCTCGGTCCTTGAGACCGTAGGCACATTGATCACATTTGATCACCTCCACGATCTCGCCCGTCATAGGGTCAGTGATGTGGTCTTGTAGAACTCGAAGAAGAGCAAGCGAGTCCCACATCTTGGACAACCATGGTTGTTCCAGCAAAACTTGCCGACCTTTTGCCACTCGGCTTCGGATCACCTGCGAGATCCACTTTACCACCGGGTACCATTCTTTTCTCTGCTCCATGATCTTGTGGGCAGTCTCCTCAGACTTGCTCATATTGAGCTCTTGCCACTGACACCAGGGGCCACAGAGCGGCGACATGGAGATGAGGTACGGGTCGTCCTTCTCGATCTGCTGGTCGATCATGTCCCGGTGTTCCTTCTTCCGCAGGTCGGTGCCGTCATACAAAATGTCGACGGGCTGTGAAACAGGATATCCCATCTCGGAAGCCATGTGAGACAGGATGGCTGCTCCGGCAAAGATCTCCAGTAGCAGCGCGCGGCAGCCTCGAGGCATCAAACGAGGTCTTACGCTTTTGTGTGAGGATCGGAACAGTCCCCACATGTGCTGGTCCCTCTCCTTCACGTCCTGCACATCCTTCTTGAATTGCTTCTTCTGACCCTTGGTGAAGACGCGCTTGTGCTGATGCATCTCATCCACGGCCATGTGGGTCTCATTGACCAGCTGGATGTCTTCCTCTGGTGGTGGTTCCTCTTGCTCATAGATCGTGTTGTGCTCCTTCTCAAGGTTCTCGGTGTCCTCGAGGTGCTCAGCCACCAGACCAAGATATCCGGGGATGAGCCGGATTGCCAGAAGTCCATTGCGGGCCACCAAGCAAAGATCACTGCCAAGTACAGTGGAGTGCACATTCTGGTGGTTGAGGTCGATCACAAAGCCAAGTTGCTTCTGGCTTTTCACACTGAGCAAGAGCGGTGCATCGGAGGAGGCAATCTCCAAGGATACCAAAGTTCCTCGGGCAAAATCTCCATTCTTCATCTCGAAGCTCACCTCAAACTCGCGTTTTCCTACCAGCTTCATCTGGCCGCCAATTCCCTTCATGCCAGGTCCAGAGCATGGCTGTAGTGGAGGTTCAGGTGCTCCAGTGGCCTTGAGGTATTGTTTCAACCATTCACTTCCGTGGCACGTGGCATTGCAGCCAGTGTCCAGGATGGCCACCAAGTTGTCTTCGCTGCCATGTTCTTGGTGATGTTGTGCCATGTAACCAAAGTGAGTCGTCTCTGGAATGGCAGCTCCATGGCGATCACGTCCTCCAGCCTGCATGTCCTGAAAGTACTGGGCCAGGCGAATCATGGCCTTGGAAGGTTTTCCAGTTTTGACTTCATCCAAAAGCCAGCGGACATACCCTTGGTCCTTCCAAGCTTCATACTGGGTTTGTCCCTTGTAAAGGCCAAAGCTGATGTTGCGGCGGCCTTCTTGCTGAAGTGAATGAGCATGTGCTGGCGGAGTGGATGGATCCGGTGAAGGCGGATCTGTCCAGATGGCCTGTGAGGTCGGTGTCCTGGCAGGCAATGACGGAGTCTGAGTTCCCGAGCCTGCCGGTTCCGTAGGAGTGTAGTCCTGACCTTCATGTGCCGGTCGGCCGAGGACGATGTTCTCACAGATCCGGAGAAGGTCAGCCAATTCGTGATCGGTGAGAGTGAAGCCTTCTCCTTGTCCTTCTGACTTGAGGTCTAGGGAGTGGTTGAAGAGTCCACGGACACGAAGAATCTCCTCGGAAGTCATCTTCCGGCTTGAGGTTCTCGGCCGGGTCGTCGAAGGGGCCTCATTGGAGGCAGTTGATTGTGAAGATCCTTTACTGGAACTCTTTCCTCCATTCACAGGGCCGCTGCGAACTTCTCCACATTGAAGACACGTGCGCTTCCAGCGAAAACCATTTGTGCCATGCCAACTCACTCGATGATGGTTGCATCCTGGCGCAGAGGATGTCTCCGAGGCCACAGACCGGGAATCAGCTGATCCCACCGGGGTGCGCTCCAAGATAGTGCCACAGTCCTTGCACTTCTTGATCTTGTAAAAGGCGTTGGATCCCTGTCCGGTCACGTTGTAGTGCAGGCAGACTGGCTTCTTGTTCGTCGGCTTAGTCGGTGCCGATGCTGGGGAGACCTGTGATGGTGAGGTCTCATGGCTGGTCCACTGAACTGGTTCTCGAGGTTGTCGAAGATCAGGTTCTTGTGGTCGTGCTGCATGTGCTCGGACTTCAGCAGGTGGTTCCGATGGGGTAGTCGAGGAAGTTGGGCCTTCAATGGACAGAACTTCTCCTCGGTCTTCACGATATTCAGATACTCCCAAAGCGGAAACCAGCATCATCATGTCGAGGTCTTCCTGCGACACGGATTGCCCTTCTCGCACGTGAGATGAGGCGACCAAAGACCATTTGTCCTCCTCCTCAGGTGAGCTCACAATCTCGCCCTGCTGCAACTCCGTGGGAGGCGGTACCGCTCCAAAGATGTTGAAGGGTCTGCGGTAGGCCATGAGAGCGGTCTGCTCCTCGGCGATCTCATTCTCCCGAACGGCGAAGAACACAGTGCGAGGTTTTGAATCTCCAGATCCCTTGCCCTTTCCAGAGCCTTTTGGCGATTTGCCTTTTCCTTTGCTCTTCGGGCAGCTGGCATCTCCGCTCCAGTGACCAACTTGTCCGCATCGTCGACAAGTGGTGCGGGACTTCAGGTTCTGAATCTTCTGTTGCCGTTCCTGGAGCGTCAACTGTCCTGAGACATCAAATGCTCGGCCGCTGGAACCAGAGGATTTTCCTTTTCCTTTGTTGTGGAAGCCCTTGATGCCCTTCTCCTTGGCACGTTCACGTGCAAAGTAGGCTTCCTGTTCCGCCTGGATGATGTCGGCCGCATACTCCATGGCTTCTTCATCGTTCAGATCAAGTCCTTGATCGGCCAACATGGACAAGAGTGTCCCTTCATCCATCTCCTCGCCGGGGTCGTTGTCCTGCCAGTCGTGGTAGTTCTCCTCATGGACGTAGTGGGATTGCTCGGACTGGTAGGCGTTGAAGTCGTCGTACAGGTCGTGCTCATACTCCTCGGCTGGGTACTCTTCAGAGAAGTAGCCCATTCCATGTCCACCTCCTTTTCCTCGATGACGCCATCCTGAGCCTTTTGGCCGCTCAAAGCCAATGCTGCGCCCTCGATGTTCTCGCTCATGCAATCGCGAGTGTTGGGCGATGAGCTCGGACTGGATGCCGGCCATGGTGATCTTGCCACCCAGAGCTGACCTGATCAGCAGGACCTGTTGGTCAGTCAGGCCTGCATTGACCAGAACTTGTTCTGCCAAGATCACTTCCGGCAGTTTCAGCTCCTTGTCCAGGTCAGTCAGGACCTGGTACCAGGCCTGTCGACGGACCAGATATGTCGACATAGGCTCAGTGGCTTGGCGGCTCAAAATGCCGCCCTCGCGGGCGCCGGCCGCATAGAGCTCCCGTGCCTCTTGGGTCCTCCTTGGCTTCAATGAAGTAGCCAGGGCATCGAGCAGCTTTTCCGCGCCCTCCTTGCTGGCGAGAACAGCGTGAGGCATCTGCTGGGCGACACGTAGAGCGGGACCTGAGAGCTGCTCCACTAGGCGTAGCCCCAGTGGTCCTTGCTTTTTCACCTCTCCAGGATCCATCTCAGCCTCGCGTGCCATCCTGGCGCGGACTCGCCAGGTGTACTCTCCCAGCCTTGTCGCCTCGCCATTGAAGCGGGGGATGCCATTAGCATTCTTGCCCTCGGTGCTGTTCTGCGTTTCCTCCTCCTTGATGAAGTTGACATACCTGAAGGTGTCGAGAAGCGCCATGGGTGAGCACAGCGCGCAAACCGTGGCCGCTAGGGCCGTAACGAAAAGGGTCGGGACCAGGGTCCCTGGGAGCCTTGGTAGCTCCGCTACCAGTGTGGAAATGAATCCAGCACTGGCAGCAAACATCATAGCGCTCTTTTCTTGAGCCATTCGCGAGAGCGAAAGTTGGGTTTCAGTCTCCTCAAGCTGGTCAGGTCCATGAGCAATCCGGGTCAGTGGCTGTCTGGTCCATGGGTTTTCCTTCGTTTTCACAAAGGCACTTGTTACTAGTAGCGATGCACTTGTTTTTATAGAGTTGAAACCGCTGGTGCATCTACTCTCGCACCCCCCAGACTGATCCCCCAAGAATCCAGACTCTTGGCACTGCTTCCATCAGCTTCCGACACGACTCCACTTCGAAACACCGCCACCGGGTTCGTCGCGTCGCCTGGGGGATTTTGCTGTCGTCCCATGCGACTCCGTCGCCGAGATGCCTCACCCGATCCGCCTCACCCGATGCCTCTGCGCATCCACCAAGTCCTCTGCCAGGTGTTCTGCGCTGCACCTCGAGTTCACACTGAGCTGCAAAGCGACCGGACGGGTGCAAAGCAATCCCCAAATGCCAGGCGGGCTCACGGTCAGAATGCTTCATGGACACTCCGTGACACTCCGAGTTTACCTCCTTGAAGGGGCTATTCATAGACACCCCGAAACGTGTCTTTCGGCCGAGTCTTGCATCAAAACACTTGATTGAAGAGTTCGAAGTCTTTGCGGTATTGGATGATGATTCGATGATCCAGGCAGAAGCTACACCCCCAAAAGCCGCAAGTAAAGCCTGGTTCTTTCTTGTGCAATGGAGATCTACTTACTACTGTCCAAGAATATTGAAGTTAGAGCTTCAAACACCTACTGGGACTCCCATCTATAGCGAGGCCCACTGGTGCATCTTCAGAAATGCCAAAAAAAAACAAAACAAACAGCAAGCAGCAAGAAAGACATCGAAAAAAATCAAAGACAAAAAAATGCTGGGCCTCACCACCAATCTCCAGCACCCTCTCAACCCTCCTTCCCTCTCGCCCAAAGACGCCTCGAGTCACGAAGTTGCCTCTGCGACTCTTGGAGATCCTCGTGAACCCGCCCGCAGCGGGTTTCCAGCTCCGCCGTCCTCCCGCGGCGCGGGAGATGCACACGGCGGGAGACGCACCGGTGGGACGCGGCGAAGTCTGTGAATCTGAAGATGAGATCATTGAGAAATGCAAGCATCTGATTGAAGCATAGTGTGAAGCTAAGTTGAGTCCCTCAGCTTTGACTGTCGCGGTTTGGATTGCAATTCCGTCAGCCTTGTTTCATCTTTTTTCCAAGTTCCTCCTCTGTGTCTTCAGAGTGTAGACTCCGAAAAGGCTTCCTTCCCATGCCCCCAAACCCTCATCCCCGCACTTCCCTGTGCCTTTGCTGCGCTTCTGCCACTGCTTCTCGCCCTTGCGCCTCTAGGCCCACCAACTCACCCCGGAGACGCGCGCAGCACGTGGTGAGCTCCACGTTCCTGTCACTGCCGCCGGTTCGCTCAAGCAATCCATCTGAAGAAACGAAGAAGACTCACTCAAAACGAAAGAGGGGCTGCTATGCCCGGTAGTTGGGGAACGAGGTGTCCACAAAGTCATGTTCTCATACAAACCGATCATCAGCTCTGGAACGGTTGCCTTTCCCCAGCTCAGGCCGGAACGTATGGAACTGACCCCGTTGACCCGTTTGCAATCCCAAGAACATACTGAGACAGCTCCCAGGTCCCTGTTCATGAACACATTGACGCCAAACTGCATGTCCACCCTTCGGAAGATGTCTATGGGACACCAAATATCGTTTTCCCATCTTTTCCCATATACTTGGGTGAGTTATATAGGACTTTGTGTATCCAAGGTCCAGAGGAGTCCTAACTCATGCGGCCAACACTTGGACTTGGACTGCAAGATTCCTTTCATCAAGGTCCGAAACGGCCATTCATGGACCACCAGTCTCACTTCTCAGGGGCTTTCATCAGCTCAAATGTGGACTTTTCCCCTGTCTTGCGTGCTTTTCCGCGCTCCAAAAACACAAGATCACCTCCAAAACCACGGCTGTCTGCAGGGACCTAGGCCCTGGGCCTCGCGACTTAGGCCCTGGGACCCGCCTGTTTCGCTGGAGCCTTAAGGTCTTCAACACTTCTGCATGTTCGACCTTGAGCGTCTCCAGCTGCCTCACCAGGCGCTGAAGACGCATTTCGAGCCACCCGCGACCCAAGACGCAAGAAATCGGAACGAGGTTCAAGGGATTCGCGATTTGTGGGTCGAAGCATTGAAATTCAGCGGCGATGGATTTGAGGGCCACTCTGCCCGTCAACAAACAACAACAGAACGGGTCCAGCTGCAGCACTTCATACATTAGATAGACCACACATTTCCGGGTCTTTGGCTATCCATTACCTTTAGTCCTTCAACCACTTTCCTGCTCCCTCATGAAACTTTTTGAGCACAAACAATGTAAACAAAGTACCTGGAAACCCAAACAACCAGAAATTGATGGATGTTTTCCACAAACAACCACTGCTCCCCCCGCACACACGCGCGGACCCCGGACCGGACCCCGCCTCCTCAGCTCCTCCCTCTCGTCCATCCGAGAAGGCGTCGGCGTCTCCTGGAGGAGAAGAAAAGCTGGCGGAGCTGGGGAGTGGTTTCACGAGAAAAGTCGAATGAAAACACTCCCTGAGAAGTACTTGAACAGCAGGATCTGATGATCTGAGTCTTTGGACTGCTCTAGGCGCACTGCAATCAGCATGGAAGATTCAACAGGATGGCATGGCCCCGACAGGATGCCCATGATTTTTTAGATACTCGACAGGTGGGGGTGAACTCAACTTCCATCCTTAGTAACTCGGAGTGTCGTTCGTAAAGAACACATTTGGAGTGGGCGTAAAGAACACGTTTGGAGGGAGCCCTTCTGTTTCACTGTCTTCCTCTAGTGTTTCATGTGCATAGTAATAGTAGTGGTAGTCCTTCTAGGAGGAAACTGTCACGGACAAATGAGCAAACATATTTCTTGCCTCGTGCAAACAACGAAAGGCTGCTCACATATGAAAATGTTGGTGTATTACACATCTAAAATAACAAAAAACAAAGTCAAAACTGAAAGGAATCTCCTCTTCATGGCATCTTGCCTAATCTATGTGTATATATTTATATATATATATATATATATATATTCGATGAATCTCGCTCAACAGATGTCAGCTGCTGCTACCCTTTTCTGCGAATCGATTCAGGTCTGTACTGTCTGTACTGAAGTGCTTTGGTTCGAAACGCGACCCACGTCGCTTGTGTCATCTGACATCTGACACTCTCCCTGTGGGAGCACTCCATCCGTATGTAGTGACCGAGAGGATACCGCAGGGGCGGTCCTACGGCCACAACGGATGCCAGCTCTGGACAGAGCGATGAAAAGATTAAATGAAACTCCCTAGTCATCTTCAATACCTGGGACCGTCAGAACAGGTATGATGGCTAGGCGGCGGACAGCCGGAAAAAGACAACTGGACGGCAGCGGCAGACAGCACAGTCCCCATCTCATGTGGCCGACAGCCCAGGCTGCAAGCGTCACAAGCATAGCCGTGGTAACTGAAAATAACCCGGAATATGGCCATCAAGCACCAGCAAGGCCACAGGTGAAGCGACTGTCACCAGGTAACCAGACTCTTCCGGCAACAAGCCAAGTCAGCCACCAGCTCGACTAGCACCAGGTGGGCATGAAAGTACTAACAGGGTGTGGCAGGGTGGGAGAAAAAGTTTAGCTTGAGGTACCAGCAGCGACACTGCTCCTCAAGGGGCGTCTCCCCAGTTTGGCTTGAGCATTCAAACATTGGGAGACGTTGATTCGAAGCTTCCCAAATAATTCATCATCACCGACCCTGCCTACCTTAAATGATTGAATATATTCGATGAATCTCGCTCAACAGATGTCAGCTGCTGCTACCCTTTTCTGCGAATCGATTCAGGTCTGTACTGTCTGTACTGAAGTGCTTTGGTTCGAAATGCGACCCACGTCGCTTGTGTCATCTGACATCTGACACTCTCCCTGTGGGAGCACTCCATCCAAGGCACTAACTTATCCAAAGCACTCAAACGAACTGAAAGACCTGAGCGATGAGGTGGTAGGGCAGCTGGAGGAGCATGAGCAGGGGGTAGGTGTGGAAGAGACGAAAACCATGCTGTTGGAACCACAGATCGTGTTCTCCCTGTCTGCTGATGCCGTCTGACCAGTTGTCCTTACTCTGGACCCATTCGAAGTAGCATGCACTACGGAGTGCAAACAGAAGGCCATGGATGGCTCCGGCCATAGAATCCAGCTCATCGTTGTTGCTGCGGCCTCGTATGAGAGCCATGAGGGCAGCGATATTGTCAACAAACCATATACCATGCATTCCGCGAACTGATGAGGCATTGTACGCCAGGCCCATGTAGACTGTCAAGAGCTCAAGCTGTGCAATCTTGGCCTCATGATGGGACCACACCGTGAAGATCTTTGGGCTGATATGGACGACATAGGCTCTTCGGTTACCACGGGGGTCGATGAACAGGACTCCCGCAGAGCCCTCGCGGGGCCTATCTTGTGCTGCATCGGATGCTGCCAAGTATCGGTGTTGCCGTACTGGATTGAGCGGTAATTCTCTTTCAGGCTTCAACTGAAGGAGAGCTCGAATTCTAGCAAAGGACTGTTCAATCTCCGGTGTCATCACGACTTGCGAGGAGTATTGTCTGTCTTTGATGCTATGGAGGCCCGACCGGCCGAGCTTGCGGAAGCATCCCGTCGTCAAGAAGCCCAGGCAGCCAAAGAGCTTGGCCGCCAGTCCCGGAGGAAGGCGACGCGTCTGAGTGGCCTCCTCCATGATGTCGGTGACCTTGGTGAGCAATCGGTCCCGGACCCAGAACTTTACAGGATCACCCCGGTGGCAGGCAGCCACATCATGGATCAGCCCCAGAAAGTCAGACTGAGCCGCCAAGGACTGATGTTTCTCTGCTTGGAAAGGCGAGCCAAGGCATCGTGCCAGGTCGTTAACGAATGCCTGGCCAGTGCCGCCCATGATACCGAAGTCCTGGATTGTCAGGTCATCAAAATACATACTGGTCATACAATATGCCAGGCGGCGGCAAGCAGCTTGAAAGAACCGGGGAAAGCGATTGAACGAACACACAGCATTTGGTAACCCGAACAGAGAACCGTAGTATCGTCGAAAGCGGGGGCCACCCACGTGGTGGTCGTAGTATGCCACCACGGCCATGTTGCCATGTGTCGGCTTCATGGGGACATAGCGGTAGGCGTTGGGTTCGCCCCCGGACCAAATGCCAGCTTGCAGCAACTCAGACGCGTGAATCGACGAGGATGCTGCCTGCCAGAGCAACTGACAAACATGAAGGCCGGGTTGAATGCTCGTACATAAATCCAGCTTGTTCGCATCCGAGCTGAGTGCGCTTTGCCCTCCGTCTGCAGCGTCATCTATGACTCGCAACTTACCCGAGGGCTGTTGTATACAAAACCTCCGGATCAGTCTGAATTGGGGGAGGTCCTGGCATAGCTGGGCCCATGTCAGTGGGGGGCCACAAAAGCCTTTGGCTTGGTCTTCCTCACCCGCCTGGGCAATGGCCGTGTCGTGTTCACCTGGACGGAGGCTTTGGATGATGCGGGCGGCCTCTGGCAGGGCGTCCTGGTAGATGGAGGCGTCCGGGATGTAGTGAGCTGGTTGAGCCTTGTACACGGGCACATGCGGGGAAAAGCCGACAGCGGGGAAGCCATAGATCAGGTTAGCCACAAACGTAGTGTCCGGCCATCCAGTAATCAGCATGATAAGCCCAATGAGGGCGATGTGGCGCCCTTGAGTGGCGGACCGCACGGGCGGTGGCTGGTATGTTTGGAGGTGGTATGTGATGGGCCACATTCGACGGCTGAGTTCTTGGAGCCAACGGCCTGTGCGTCTTCTCACCTCCCGCAAGCCTACTCCCTGGGCTGCATAGCCAGATGCGGCAAAGATCAAGTCATCATCGACAACACCCATAGTTTCAAATGGGGTAGGTCTCTGTTGCAACTCGAGTGCGAGTTCAAAATGTCGCTCCTCCCCTACGCCAAAGGGGATCATAGGCGGTAAGGCTTTTGCAGCAGCGGCCGCTCCGGGCTGCTGAAGTCCGCTCATCGCGATGGCGTTGCGCTCCAATGGGCCCACCAACCGTGGACCAAAGGCGTGGCCGTCCCAGTCCGGGCGGTTCTGCATGTAGTTGAGCCATTGGTAGTGTGAATCGTCCACTAGCAGGTCCTCGAGCATAGGCCACTGGAATCCCTCCCAACTAATATCCGGACAAAGGGCCATGATGCTGGCCACCACAACCTCCTGAGAGAAGCGCAACGGGACTGCCCTGGCAGGGCGAATGCCGGCTGCAATGAGTGAAACCCGTCGCAACTGTTCCCGAGCGGGATGGCCGTGGCCCGAGGTCGGAGTAGGACGTGAAGTAGTCCAAACTAGAGCACGAAGGATATCGCCATGACATAGCACGTTGTGGGGGCAGTCGCACACCAACGTCTTACCATGTAGGGATGGGAGGTCAGCCAACAGATGGTCCTGGTCGGCGATCCATCGAGCGTAGTGAAGGACACTCTCAATAGCAGTCCTGCCCTCCCCTGCCCGGAAGGGGTTTTGCCACTGTGTCAGGGGCCAACGATGGGAGAAATGCCCTGGGCCGATGTACACGTCCATGTCTGTGAGTTGTGACCTCAGTTGCAACACATCAAATGCGACTTGGCGAGTGGGTACATGGGACGAGTCTTCTCGTGGTGGTGTGAGGCCCAGGTGGAAGCCCATGACATTCATCAGATCCTCTCGCAGCTCGGACGGTTCAAAATGGAGCAGTGGTCGGACGTCACCTGAGGTGTTGATGGGCGGTAAGCGGTAACCTTGGGATGGCGAGGATGCCGTAGCCCTGTCGCGCCGCCCATGCTGTGCAGCATACTGCTAGGGTGAAGACCAAACTAGGTGTGTACTCCGCTTCGTTGAAGGTGGAGAACTGCCCATTACCCGACGAGCGCCACTCGTTGGGGTCGTGAATGTGTCCACATCGAACGGCCGGAAGGGAGGCCAACTCAGGGATGTTGTGACGAAACTTCTGGGCTTTGCGCCGAGCGCCTCCGAAGACGCATGCATCATAGTCCAAGTCCTGCCAATCATCCTCCCGGCACAAGTACTGCTCGACCGGGTCCCACCAGTGTAGAGACCTGAGCGGGTTTTCGCGAAGACATGCGAGGTTCTGTTGATGCCCCCAGTGTTGTAATGCCAACAGGTAATCACTGGAGTAGTTGTCAGCGTCGACCCGTGCCTGTTGTCCCTCGTCCAGTCCTGGTAGACCCCGTGGGTGTTCCTCGGATCGTAGAGGAGGGGGACCGGGCCGTTTCTCCCTAGCTCGTGATTTGGTAGCGCAACTCATCGCCCCCGCAATGGTGGCCACCCGAGGGAGCACCGCCTGAATAGCCCGACGGACCGCCGGACGCGACACGTCCAGGTCCTGATCGATCTTGATGTCAATCGGTGTGATGATCTCCCATTGGCACCACAAGAAGGCCTTGGACAACGGTGCATGGACTCCACTGAACACATCAAG